TCCAAGGACGACAAAAAGAAGTGAAAAAGGTGTAGAAAAGTGATAAAAAGGAGAAAAGATTTGAATTACAAAAGAAAGAGTGACAATGTGTCCCTCTAAGCCCTTGAAAGAAGTGAACTACTCAATTGAGTCAAGAAAGTGTGCCAAAATAAATCAAAAGAAGGCCTTAAGGGAAGATTAAACCCATTTGAACAAAAACACGTCCTACCTTTACCAAAAACCTTCACAATGACTCCTCAAAATCCCTATATGATCTTGAGTTGAGGGAAGCCTACATTAGTGGATACTTACATAAGGGGCAAGCATATGGTACTTAGAGCCGGACTTAGGGCCTCTTCTTTGTGAGAGACGAGAGAGAAATCCATTCATCTCGATTTGTGTGCAAATACCCTAATAGGTGAGATTCACTTAGAGAAAGTCAAGGATGTATTAGTTTGGGTTCCATGATGACCAAAGAAATTGAGAAAGGTTCCGTGATGAAATGTGTCAACTCTTGATGCTCTTGTGTCGCACTTGATCCACAAGTTTGCAAGTTTAAATATGTTGAGGATGCATTCGCATTGAGGGCAATTGCTAGTCCCAATTGATGCCTGCTGAGGTTACTTTAGGATAAACAGGAATTACTTGGTTGTTTTCCATTGAGGGGTAGGTCTCATTTTATTTGCTTGAGGACAAGCAAAGGTTTAAGTTTGGGAGAGTTGATAACTGCGATTTCTGCATGTTTTTTATACCCATTCTTACCTGAGCTTTGTGCATTTATTGCCATATAATAGTCCCAAAATGCTTACAAATGACACTTGATTGCAGGTTTGAGCGACAAGATGACAAATACTAAAGATCGGCTCAAAAAAGGAGTGAAATCTGCCGAGTGTCAAGAGACAACTGAAAGGGGGGATCAAAAGGCCCTGCGCGGTCCGCACTGTTCTGTCACGCGGCCGCGCAGGAGAGTTCAGAAGCTGGGCATATCCAAGTTCAACCTGCGCGGACCGCACTGTTTTGCCACGCGGCCGCGCAGGAAAGTTCAGAGGCCATGATATTTTTAAGATAATCTGCGCGGTCCGCGCCTCTTCTCGTGCGGTCCGCACCCAGTTCCAACGCGGTCCACATCCCTTTTTGTGCAGTCCGCACCTAAGAGAATCAGAGAAGCAATCACTCGAGACAAAAGCTCATGCGACCGCGCATCTAATCAGTGCGGTCCGTGTGGATGAAGTTCATGCGGCCGCACGTCACTTTTGTGCGGTCCGCGCCCCCCAGTACCAGATGCAAGTAATGAAGCCCTCAGGGGTATTTTTGTCCGGTTTTTCCTGTGAAGTATAAATAGAACATTTTACTTTTTAGCAAGGAGTTTTGGAGGAGGCGGTTCAAGAGTAGAGAGCAACTGAACTCGTGTTACCCTATTATCAGCCTATTTTGGGCCATTTCTTCTAGTTTTAAAGGGGAATCAAGTAGATTAACATTGTAGTTAACTATTATGTCAATTTCATCTATTATTTCTTTGATTTTTGTTACTACTATGTCTAGCTAAACCCATTAGCTAGGGTTGTGGCTCAACCCTAGTGTGGGAAATTGATGGGTGTGATTGTTTAGTGCATGAATGATGTGGGGTGTTTGCTATTTGGATTAATCTTAAGTTTTCACTAAGATTTGGTGGTTGCAAACACTAAGTCTAGCTTAGTGGGTCTTGACTATTCTTGAGAAAGAGAGTCTATGACCTCAAGATTAACTCCAACAAGGAATCGGGATGGACCCATGAGAATGGTAGTCCCAATTAACGGGTTAAACCTCGAGAGAGTAATTACCCAACTTGAACCATAAGTTGCTTGGGCAAATTAGCCTACCCGATTGGTCTCGAGAGAGTCAATCGGGCAAAATCACTCTCTCTACCGAGAGGTGTGAGAGTGGGTGTAAAAGGTGCAACGGTTATAGCATAAGCCCCATATTTGTCATTTTGGCATTAGGAATTTCTACCCGTTAGTGGACCACCTAGGTAAATGCTGCATCCTTAGTGCTTTTATCTATCTTGCATACAATTTAGAATCGTAATTTTAGCATAACCTAGTTTTACAACTGTAGTTGATAAATTGTAGCTCTTAAACAAAAGAAAACCAAAAATGTTAGAAGATCAATTATGAGCTAAAACACTATCCTAGACCATACAAATACTCGACTCCAATTTGAAGTTCCCAGTGGAAAATTCGACCCCGATATCGCTATTGGGTAAAGGTATTAGCGCCCACTCATCCTTAGGTTGAGTCTGCTACGATCACTTACATTAGTGGATACTTACATAAGGGGCAAACATATGGTACTTAGAGCCAGACTTGTGACCTTTTTTTAGAGAGATTAGTGAAATTCCATTAACCTCGATTTGTGTGTCAATACTTAAAAGGTGAGGTTTGCTTAGGGAGAGTTAAGGATGTGGGAGTTTGGGTTCCACAATGACCAAAGTAAGTGAGAAAAGCTCTTTAATGAAATGTGTGAACTCTTGATGCTCTTGTGTCACACTTGATCCATAGTTTTCAAAGTTTTAAATGTGTTAATGATGCATTCGTACTGAGGGCAATTGTTAGTCCCAATTGATACTTGTTGAGGCTATTTTAGGATAACTGGAATTACTTGGATGTTCCTTTAAGGGGTGAGTCTTATTTTGTTTGCTTAAGGACAAGCAAAGGTTTAAATTTGGGGGAGTTGATAACTTAGGATTTTTACGTGTTTATGCCCCTACTTGCCTATGCTTTGAGTATAAATTGATACAAAAATAGCCCTAATATGCTCACAAGTTGTGCTTGACTGCAGGTTTGATCGACAAAGTGACGAAATGTCAAAGATCAGCTCAAAAAGGAGTGAAACATGCTCAAGTGTCAAAGACCAAGAGAAGTGAAGAAAAAGGGCCTAGTGTGGACCGCGTAACAGTGACCGCAACCGCATTAGGAGGTTCAGAGACATGGCATGTTCGAGCTTGAAGTCACGCGGCCGCGGTAGGACATGTGCGGTCCGTGGTGAAGCTTCGCAACCGCACTCCTGCTTTGTGCGGTCCGCGTTCATAAAGTTCAGCAGAGTGCATCTTTCCTCACGCGGTCCGTGGTCACGTCTGCGCCGACCGCCAGTTGCCATCGCGGCGGCGATACACTTCCACGCGGTCCGTATCCCTCAGCTCAAGTCATCAAACAACTGTCCAAGAGCCAGTGCGGCCGCGGTTCATTTTGTGCGGCCCGCACTGACCCCACAAGGGTATTTTTGTCCAGTTTTTCCAGCCTAGAATAAATAGAACATTTTACTATTTTTTTAGGGATCGATATATCTGGGAACGATAGACAGAAGCTGTGCTTGGTGTTGTAGCCATTTTTTGCATAATTACTTCCCATTAACAATAGATTATTGTAGTTTCTTCTCAGTAATTAATTAATATGTTTAGTTCTTCATCAATTTCTGTATCTAGCATGAGTAGCTAAACCCATTAGCTAGGGTTGTGGCTCAACCCTAGTGTGGGTAATTGATGTGTGTTGCCATCTAGGGTTAGATTGACTATGGGTATTTGTTATTTGGGTTGATTTTATGATTTAATTTAGAATTGGTGGTTGCAAACACCGTTTCAAGCTTTGTGGGTTTAACTCTTCTTGAGAAAGAGAGTCTATGACCCCAAAATTGACCCAACAAGGAATTGGGATGGACTCATGAGAAATGATAGTCCCAATTAACGGGTTAAATCTCGAGAGAGTAATCACCCTACTTGAACCCTAGTTGTTTGGTCTAATTTGCCTACCCATTTGGTCTCGAGAGAGTCAATTGGGCAAAATCACTCTCTCTACCGAGAGGTGTGAGAGTTGGTAAAATTATGCAACGGTTATAGCATAAGCCCCTAATAAGTCAATCGAACCTAAGTAACTTCTACCCATCAATTAGCCACCAAGGTAATGCCACGACCCTAGTGCTCTTATTTCCATTAATTACAACTTAGCAATATTCTCCTAGCATAATCTAGCTTTAATCCGTAGTTTTATAATAGTAGTTATAAATACAAAATCTCAAAAGATGTTTGAAGTGACATTAGAAGCACAACCGCAGCTCTAGGCTAAACAGAAAATACAACTCCACTACTAGCTCCTTGTGGAAATTCGATCCCGGACCTCTATTCGGGTAAAAGCTATTGCGACCCACTCTTCCTACCATAGTGTAGTGTCGAGTCGGCAGCGATCAAATCTGTGTGGCAGTCAGAGGATCAGAAAAAAAAACTCGTGAGAGTCAAGGAGATCGCTTTGATGCCATATAATGGAGAAGTTTTATTGTATGCCTCACACAACTGACATTAGTTGTGTGAGACTCTTTTTTTATCTCACAAATTTGTGGACCCAAATGAGCAAGATGAAACAAAAAAAATAATTTTGTTAAATGATGATGAGTTGATTATATACACAAACAAGTTACAAAGGCCTAGTTAACAGAAAGCAAGAAAAATAAAATAACAAACTCCTTAAATGGTGGGAACAAAATAACAACTTATGCAATAAAACAAAGTAGATACACAAATTTTACAAAGCAGTAACAGTAACTCCTAATATGTCAAGCGTTAATTATTAAATAGCCCTTTGAGTGGCAAGCAGGACGACGAAGAAGCCCTTTACTCCCGCTTTGAAATAGTAGGAACTATTACAGTATTTGTTTTGGGGGTAAAAGTATATGGTATTATTTTCTACTACTCCATCTTAACGGGGGTGAAATTACATACTCCTTTTTATAAGAGCCAACAATTATTATTAAGGTTTAGCCGGACACCAAGTGCTCCAATCAAGCATGCCCAGCTCCACAAACCAAGTAAAAAATCATGACACTGGAACTGACTACAAGCAAGCAAGGGAAAAGGAATTATTGTGTAATTAGTAGGGTTGCTCAATAGCACTTTCCAAATGGACATATGAGATAGCATCAAGACGAGCACAAGACAGATCTGGCCGCGATCTATTTCAGAGATTTTCCTAAGTAATAGCATACAAGTCCAATAGCTAAAATACAAGCTCATCAACGAGCCTATATACAACAATACTATTGCTGCAAGCATCCTTGACAATGGCTTCCCATGACTCAAAGTCAAACCTTTTCTTCCTTTTCTCCATTTCCTCCAAAACAAAGCAAACATCTTCAATCTTCCCTTTATCAAGCAGGCCAAGAATCATACACCTTATTGTTTCTACATGCGAAAAATGCCCGCTAATCAACATTGCATTCAAAACCTTCAAACCTTCCTCAAATTCTCCTGTTTTACAAAACCCATCAACTACCATTCTATATGTAGCTGCATTAGGATTGCAACTTGCAATTTGCATATCAACTAACATCCTATACGCTTCAGCAGTTTTACCTTCCTTACAGAAATAATTGATTAACATATTATAGATCACAACGTCGGGTTTAATGTGCCTTTTTTCATCTCCACGAGTAAACTATTTGCCTCACCAATGTCGCCTAATTTTAAAAGATTAGTCATCAAAATACCATAATTGACTATTTTAAGCTTACATCCTTGGTATTCCATATCAAACATTAACTTCTTGGCTTCTTTATACTTACCCAAAGAACTCAAACCTTCCATCAACAAAGCATAAGAAACTGCATTTGGCTTCTTTCCCTTTCTAACCATATCCTGAAACAAACTTTTAGCACCTTCAACATCCCCCTTCTTACACAAAAATCCAATTTGACAATTGTAAGTTACCACAGTCGGCTCAATTTCTCTTTCAATAATTTCATCAAACACTTGGCGCGCCAGTTCCCAGTCACCTTTTTCCAACCACATCTTAATAATAATGTTAAACGAAACAGCATTTAACCAAATACCCATTTTCGAACAATTCCTTAACATCTCATTTGCATTATCAGAACGTCCATTATCAACAAGCACATTTAAAAGTGCATTTAAAGACTATACACTACGCGTACAATTAAACGACGCCATGTTGTGAAAAAGCTCAATAGCTTTATCAACCAACTGGGCTTTGCCGTAATGTTGAATCAACCCGACAAAAACCTTCTCTTGACATCGAATATAATATGTTTTTAAATACCCAAGAAGGGTTTCAACAGCTTCAAAGACTCGAGACTTAGCGAACTTATAAATAAGACAAGAATAAGTAGGGTAGTCATGTTTGAACCCGGTTTGCTGGTAATCATGGAATAGTGAAATAGATTCATCAGGATCTTGGATTTGTTTGAGGTCAGCAAGTAGTGGTATTGGCTTGCGAAGGAGGTTTTTTGTATGCTTATGAGGCCTTTTAGGTGAGGATTTTGAGGTGGGTTTACAAGAACGATGATGACTGTGGTATAGTTGGGATTGGAAAATTGAGGTTCTAAATTGTGCAAGGTTGTTAATTTTGAGTTTTGAGGGAGTTGTGCTAGCTTGTTTGATTCTTGAATTGATCATGGAATGTAGGAGGTAGATGTCAAATTACAGTTTCAAGTGTTAGATGAAAGATCTGTGGAGGGAAAATGGGTTGCTTAAACTTGGAAGCACATTTGAAAGCTTATGCACTCGATAATCCTATTTAAAAGAACAAAAATCGAATGCGTCAGTGTTAGGGTTTTAATAAGGACAACAACAGACAAATAATCACGATTAATAAGAACATATAAAATACAATAAATATTTGTGTTTTTTTGTGTGTGTGTGTGTGTGAAATATCGGGAGAGAGAGAGAGAGAGAGAGAGAGAGAGAGAGAGTACTGCTGACGAATAGCTGCAACCCTTTTGCCATCTGAGTTCCGAGAGCAGCGCTATATCATCAAGTCAAAGAGGAGAAATTTTATTTTGAGTGAGACTCAACCAACAAAACTTGTATGAGACACATCTATCTATTTGAAAAGTGGAAATATGGGTCCCACCTATTTCCATTCCCTATCTCAATTCCCTTTCTCATATTTTTACCAACTTTACAAGATGACAAAATGAAAAAGCAGTCAACTTTTCACCTCTATCTTCTATCCTTTTCTAAAAGGAAGGGAACATGTGGATTTTACGGTCGTTTGTTCGTGTATGCTTTTCCAAATTCAAGAGTCTAAAAAGAAGAATGACTGAATTTTTCTCTTTGTATTTTAAAATAGAAAAATGATGGGCAAAATATTTTTGCGGGAGAATCATTGATTTTTTTTAGATATCTATGCTTTCTAGTTCCTAATTTGTAATTGTCGGATCAATAGTTTGGTTGAAGCTTATTAATCTGACATCTCACTGGTGTGCAGTGATGTAAACTCAACTTCACATTTATAGAATTGCTTGGGGTAAGCATTAAGCAATACAATAATAGAATTGCTTAAAATTCCAGTACAGCCAAAATGCACCTTCATTTCTTCACATAATATGCTGGAAGTTCATACACAAGTGCTCCAATCTCCAGTATATTATGCTGGAACTTTCCGTATGTTGGAGTTCCAGCATAATATGCTGGAAGTTCATACACAGGTGCATCAATCTCCAGTATATTATGCTGGAACTTTCCGTGTTACAGCAAAATAATGACTATTTTTCAACGACTTTGCAAACGCTAGCTATTTTTCAATAAAGCCTGCTTAGTTAGCGGAGGTCTTGAGTTCGTCTCAACAAGAGCATTTTATTTTTCTATATTTCTGTATTTTGCCTTGGTTATATTCGTTGCGCAAACAAATACAGTCGATACAAGTTGTATCCTTCGTATACATTCTTGTATACAATCGATATAATTGTATTATTTGTATACACCCTTGTATTTCATATCCACTAGGAAAATGGAACGTCAGGCTTAATGTGCCTCTTTTTCATCTCCACAAGTAAACTATTTGCCTCACCAATGTCGCCTCGTTTTAAAAGATCAGTCATCAAAACACCATAATTGACTATTTTCAGCTTACATCCTTGGTATTCCATATCAAACATTAACTTCTTGGCTTCTTTATACTTACCCAAAGAACTCAAACCTTCCATCAACAAAGCATAAGAAACTGCATTTGGCTTCTTTCCCTTTCTAACCATATCCTGAAACAAACTTTTAGCACCTTTAACATCCCCCTTCTTACACAAAAATCCAATTTGACAATTGTAAGTCACCATAGTCGGCTCAACTTCTCTTTCAAGCATTTCATCAAACACTCTGCGCGCCATTCCCCAATCATCCTTTTCCAGCCACATCTTAATAATAATGTTAAACGAAACAACATTCAACCAAATACCCATTTTCGAACAATTCCTTAACATCTCATTTGCATCATCAAAACGCCCATTTTCAACAAGCACATTTAAAAGTACATTAAAAGACTGTACACTATGCGTACAATTAAATGACCCCATGTTGTGAAAAAGCTCAATAGCTTTATCAACCAACTGGGCTTTCTCATAATGCTGAATTAATCCAATAAAAACCTTTTCTTGACATCGAATATAATATGTTTTTAAATATCCAAGAAGGATTTCAACACCTTTAAAGTCTCGAGACTTAGCGAGCTTATAAATAAGACAAGAATAAGTAGGGTAGTCATGTTTGAAGCCGGTTTGCTGGTAATCATGGAACAGTGAAATAGTTTCATCAGGATCTTGGATTTGTTTGAGGTTAGCAAATAGTGGTATTGGCTTGCGAAGGAGGTTTTTTGTAGGTTTATGAGGCCTTTCAGGTGAGGATTTTGAGGTGGGTTTATGAGAACGATGATGACTGTGGTATGGTTGGGATTGGAAAATTGAGGTTCTGAATTGTGTAAGGGTGTTAATTTTGAGTTTTGAGGGAGTTGTGCTAGCTTGTTTGATTCTTGAATTGATCATGGAGTGTAGGAGGTAGAAGTCAGATTACAGTTTCAAGTGTTAGATGAAAGATCTGTGGAGAGAAAATGGGTTGCTTAAACTTGGAAGCACATTTGAAAACTTATGCACTCGAGATTGGATGGGTACCCATTTTGGTGAGATTTTGATTTGGGCCAAACAGATGCTTCAGAAGCTGGAAATTGGGCCTAGTTTATAGATGTGTTTGGGTGAAATTCAAAAATAGCCAGATTTAATGGGAGAAATTAAAAAATAGCCAAATTTACAACTGGTCGTTCAAAAATATCCCAGTTTTAAAAGTAATTGAAATTTATCCACTTTTCATGTAAAGATAAATCTGAGCGAAAACACTATTCAAAATCCGGAATACGCTAGTATATTATGCTGGAGTTCCACCATAAGTATACTTGAACTCCAGCATATTATACTGGAGTTCCATGATAAGTATGCTGGAACTCCATCATATTATGCTGGAGTTCCACCATAAGTATACTTGAACTCCAGCATATTATACTGGAGTTCCATGATAAGTATGCTGGAACTCCAGCATAATATGATGGAGTTCCAGCATAAATACACTAGATCTCCAGCATAATATACTAGAGTTTGGAGCACCGGAGCTCCAGTCTCCAGTATATTATACTGGATCCAACAAAGTATACCGGTCCAACATAATATGCTGGAGTTCATACACAGGTGTACCGAACTCCAGTATAATATGTTGGACCGGTCTCTGTTGCAGCAAAATAGTGCTATTTTTTCATTGACTTGGTAATCGATATTTAGCCACTTTTCATGTAAAGATAAATCTGAACAAAAATACTGTTCAAAATACATAAAATATTCCAGCATAATATACTGGTCCATCACAATATGCTGGAAGTTCATACACAAGTGCTCCAATCTCCAGTATATTATGCTTGAACTTTTCGTGTGTTGGAGTTCTAACATAATATGCTGGAAGTTCATACACATGTGTACCAATCTCCAGTATATTATGCTAGAACTTTCCGTGTTACAGCAAAATAATAACTATTTTTCATTGACTTTGCAAATGCTGGCTATTTTTCAATAGAGCCCGCTTAGTTAGGAGGTCTTGAGTTCATCTCAACAAGAGCATTTTATTTTTCTATATTTCTGTATTTTGCCTTGGTTATATTCGTTGCGCAAACAAATACAATCGATACAGGTTGTATCCTTCCTTTACATTCTTGTATACAATCGATTTAAGTTGTATTATTTGTATACACCCTTGTATTTCATCTTGGTTACAGTTGATGCATGTTGTATTTGTTGCACGAACGAATACAATTGCACAAAAGTATACAGTTGATACAAGTTGTATGCGTTGTGCGAACGAATACAATTAACATAAGTTATATTCGTTGCGCGTTTGAATACAACTAATACAAGCCGATAACGATTGAACAATAGTTATGAATGGTAATTAGGTAAACTGTAATTATTAGCCTCTAAACTATAATGCTTTATGAAAATT